TATATATATATATATATATATATATATATATATATATATATATATATATATATACTCATTCATATACGAAGGTGCCTTTATACATGTATGCATACATACATGCATACATTTATACACACTCACACCCACACTGACACACCCACACCACGCAAACGTATTCAGCGTGTTTATACCTGTCTCCAAAGCATATTTATGTGTACCTTGCCTGTATCCTTGTATATGTGCGCCTGTGGTACTTATCTTTGGTTCTGTCCAAGTATAGGTGCCACAAAAAGTAACTAGCTTAACCAGAGTGATATATATATTTCCTTCGTCATTATCATTATCTCCGCCAAGAAGGTTATGTTTGAGGTAGCGTTGGTTAGTTAGTATGTTTGTTTGTTCGTTGGTTAGTTAGTATGTTTGTTTGTTCGTCGGTTAGCAGGATAATTCAAAATGAACAGATTTTTTTTTCCAGAGGTGTGCCTTAGCCTGAGATGCTATTAAATTTTGGTGGTGATCCAGATTATTATCCGGATTTTTTAAAATGGTTGCATCAGTTGCACCTAACGCCTTGGTTTCGAATTCTTGCTGGTATCCTTTTATCACTTCTTACAAGCATCTAATGCAACACAGAGTTCTTGATGAAATTAACTATAAAGGCCAATCCTATGGGGCTAATTGTATTTCTTGATATAATTAAATGAACTGCGCAGAAAAGTTGTTAAAAATTGAAAAGTTGTTATATCAGTATCAACGCTGGCACTATTTTAGTAATATGTTTATGGGGTTATGAAGTAAAAAAAAAAAAAAAAAAATAAATAAAAGACATGAAAATGGAGAGAGAAGGTTGTCGATGAAATAAGAAAGTGGCACAATAGAGCGAAGAACGAAGGAAAATTACTAAAATCCCTAAAATTCGAATTCAAACAGAAAAATATTTTGAAAAATGTAAATAACAACGCATTTTATAATGTAATCCGTTCACTATCATTTATTCTTTCGTATAACGTAGGGAGTTGCTCTGTATGCCACGTTGTAAAAAATAATGCATTCCATTAAGAAAAATGCATTTTTATACAAATGTTACTGCTTACGAAATACATTTCACTACTACTGTTGGATTTGGGTAGTTCACTAAAATGTGAACAATTGCTCAAAATATATGAATAGGTGAATGGTTTCGTGATCTCTTGCGAAGATATTAGTCACATATCTCATCCAAGAAATTAATCAATCTCTTGAATACGAATTAAAGCTACTTGTAGAGAAGTGTGTGAGGAAATATTGTCAAACAGAAATCTATTTTGTCGCTGATCATTTATTGCGTGAATTAAATTCAATCAGTTAACGTGTTAACGAGAAAGAGAGAGAGATACAGACAGACAGACTGAGACATACATATAGAGAGAGACAGATAGACAGAGACACACTGAATCAACACATGTATATTGTATATTCCTACATACATACATACATATATACATGTACACACACACACACGCACACACACACATACATATATATATATATATATATATATATATATATATTATATATATAATATATATATATATATATATACCAAAATGACCCTCCATGAAGAAAGAAATGGACTTCTAGATGAAGACAGAAACAAAGGACATTAAAAAAAAAAAAAAAAAAAAAAAAAATTATATATATATATATATATATATATATATATATATATATATGTATACCATTTATCATTCATCAGGAGACCCACCCTTCAACAGTCACCCTCCTCTCCACAAGGAACGCACGCATAATTCAAGTGATTATTCATTTGCATTATTCATCACATAATGCTATCGCGGATGCCATATTTGGCTCGACCACATTCCCGTATCCCCTTGTTGACCTGTGGAGCTTCATCCATGTGGTCTATGAGAAATTAATAACGATGGGTATAGCATTATAGTGGTATTTCGCGTATATATGAATGGTAAAGGGATAGAAAATGTGCATCAGGAATTACAGGTCATTTAGGGAGATGGCTTCAAGCAGATAAAAAAGGAATTAATAGATAATGTAATGGTTATATAATATTTTAAATCTGCATAACAATGGTAATAAGGATGATAATGGTCGTATGTGTATGATTATGAAAAATATATGCTTCCGCGAGTATTTTTTTTCGAATTACATAATTGCAATTGATTCACCTTGCGCGGGTGTGGTTTGAGATTTTGTTGCACAGTGATATATAATACGTATTAGAAAAACCGAGTACGGCAGGGAAAGAGCATTATTTCTCATAGAAAAGTAATTTCTTGCGCTCATTACAAACGAGTGTTGTCTTCGCTGCAAGTGGGCACGCACAAGAAGTTTCATTCAGATACGGTCTGACAATTTACACTTACAGTTGTTGGTGAGTTGGTAAAGTTCCTTAATACCGTTGCTGTCATCGCTAATGATTGCATATTTTGTGACTTTTTTCTACTACTTGCCCTATTTAGAAAGATTTGATTACTACTGTTATCTTGAAACGAAATATTATTCTCATCATATCTAATTCTTTTCATAAATTTTCCCGTGTGGCGTTGGTCACTGTAACAGTAATTCAAGTAATAGCAGTTATCAATAACATTAAAAGCAAAAATGTAAGGTAGAAAAGATAATGCTTGTTGAAAGTTGTGACTCATTCCATAAAAAATTCGTCAAAGATCTACCATGGAATAGTTTTCCAGGAAATATAACAACATACAATCTCCCCAAGAAACTCTGTATTCAATTGAAGAGGTTTATAAAACACTCAATTCACAACAAACAAAATCATGTGAAGTTGGTATTAAACACAGATTTATCTATCGATCAACTCTCTGGACATTCTGGATCTGCAGTAGTTAATCTTGGCAACAATTTCACATTATCCTGGAGATATCAGACGGAGGTTCAAGCATGCATTAGTTTGTATCTATTCATTATGGTGTGTATTAAGTTTGAACATGTAATATGGCTTTGGTAGTAATGAACATCAAATTTTAAGATCTTATTAAGTAAACAAATTAAATAAACCTTTTCATATACATCCGAAAAAAGGTGTTACTGTAATCGGACGATGCCGTGATTATTATATATATATATATAATATATATATATATATATATATATATATATATATATATATATATATATATATTATATACATGTGTGTGTGTGTGTGTGTGTGTGTGTGTGTGTGTGTGTGTGTGTGTGTGTGTGTGTGTGTGTGTGTGTGTGTGTGTGTGGTGTGTGTGTGTGTGTGTGTGTGTGTGTGTGTGTGTGTGTGTTGTGTGTGTGTGTGTGTGTGTGTGTGTGTGTGTGTGTGGTGTGTGTTGTGTGTTGTGTGTGCCTGTGTGTTGTGTGTCTGTGTACGCGTGTATGTTGTGTATAGCTACTGTTGAGTGACCTATGACCTTGAGGGGGGGCTTTTGCATTAACAGTTGTTGCCGCTGTTAGTATTTCCTTCCAATCTGTATCTTGAATATAGTAAGTGTTTATCAGTTTTATTGTTACATGACTGTTCTTTTGCCATCCATCCGTAGGTTTGGAATGAAATCATATGCTGAAACTGAAACAAACTGCCCACTACTTTGTATTAATTGATGCATCCTAAAACAAGTTATTATTCCAACAGTCATTATCAATTTTCTTATTTCATAACGGTCACCCTTTTGACTATATATCATACTGTAAGTATGACTGTATTACCCTTATTAATTATACTTTTTGTTGCCATTATGACTAACTTTGTCATATCTATGGTGTCAATTTTCAGTGCTGTCTTAAAATGGAACGTTAATCTCATCATAGCGATTTTTTTCACATTTCTGTCAGGTAGCCAATGGCCATCCGTAACAATTTTAATTTTATATTAGAGGCACTAGATTGCCGCTACTATGTAATTATAATGAGAAGCAAAAAATACCTATTAACTTTTTCTTTATATAGGACAAATTTGGTTATCACTCATGTTGCTTTCAAAACACTATTTGAATGATAGGGTTCCATATGTGTAAACTTGGAGACTTCCGGTGGTTGACATGATGTTAACTAATCTGCAGACAAATACATTTTCGATTATGACCATATCTATATGATAAAATAAGAGACAGAAGCAAGTCTACAAGGAAAATTGACTCAACAATTCAGATTTAATTTTTCATCATATAAAATACCATAACGTAGCCATCAGCTAACCAGATCCAACGTAACGACTAAATTCCGTTTATAATCTAGTGGCCTCCTGTGCCTTTCGGGAATAAAATCATTATCTCACAGTGAATCCATGATAATTCCGGAACAATTATTCGAGAAATGAATTAGAATGAGACAGATTCGAAACTCAAAATACTAACCTTTCCGTAACGCATGGTTCTGTTCGATATTGAATGTTGTCTCTGTCTCTGTGTCTCTGTGTCTCTGTGTCTCTGTGTCTCTGTGTTGCGATATCCCTCCTTACGAAACTTTTCTGTGTATAAATAGCTCTCGCTCTCGCTCTCTCTCTCTCTCCTCTCTCTCTCTCTCTCTCTCTCTCTCTCTCTCCTCTCTCTCTCTCTTCTCTCTCTCTCTCTCTCTCTCTCTCTCTCACACACACACACACACACACACACACACACACACACACACACACACACACACACACACACACACACACACACACACACACACACACTCTCCCTCTCACACTCTCACACTCCCTCACACTCTCTCACACCCTCTCTCTCTCTCCCTCTCTCCCCTCTCATACTCTCACACACTCTCACACACACACACACTCACACACACACTCACACACACACTCACACACATACACATAAACATAAACCTTTGTAACTCATAAAAACACATAAAACAAACAAACACACAACATTGATATACTTACAGACACACACACATACAAAAGACAATAGAAAGAAAGAGAGGGAAGTGATATCTCTGTTCAAAAATAAATATTTGTTTCCTGCACTCTCACCTTATAACTAAAAGACTCTGCAACTGGTCATTAATAAAAGAGATGAGAAAATATATTTTATTCTGTCATGAGTATTACAAAGATTTCGTTACAACACAAAAGACAATTTCTGGATGATTGCTCATCAAGTTTCTGTATATATTCTAGCTTTACGAAAGAACACCAACTGCTTATAGTCATAAGCATTATCATTCTTAAACATACTTTGAAAAGGGAAATAGAGAAAATACAGGTAATCTGACCCATAAATCATGCGCCACTTTTTATCACTTTTTTGTTTCTTTATTTTTTTATTTTTTTAAACTAAAATTTGAATATATATGTATACATGTATGCAAATGAATAAGTTCATGCATGTATACATAACCTGTTTTTTTTAGAGCACAATCACTACATTTCTAATAATGAATGAGGTGAAATATATTCTGTAGTACATTTGAAAACCTCTCTGGAAGTCAACTGGGATAAAACTCCCTCCTTTAATGCTTTACATATTATCCTGAGTAAATCCAAAAGGAAAAAAATAAATTAATGATTAAATCTTTTCAGGTACATAAAAAAGTTAATTTTTTAAATCATATGTATATGTCCAGCAAGTAGTTGCTTCACTGCCCTCATAAATATCAGTAACTGAATTTCACTATTTACTTTTGCCCACCAAGAATTTTAGGTTGTAATTTGCTTATTCTTAAAAAAAACAAAAAAACTTTCAAAACTAAAAACATTTCTTGGCAAGTTTCAATAGTATACAATAAACTGGGGTATATATGGCACTTTAGTTCCTCATTCCTGACACGAGCAATTAATACAATTATAAATTTCCAACCATGTGGTAGCCCTAAAAGCAACAGCAGTTGAGAACATTTTGGCCGAAAAATTGGCACTTGATGAATTTAAATAAATTGTACAACAATTACTGTATTACACATATCAATTTAATGGGCTAAGAAGCCTTATTATCTTAGTCCAAACAATATGATTGTTTGTCCATAATATGATTCTCTTATCAGTCTATGTAGTATAATTAGTGACCTCAATATCTTAATGATTATCAATGCATACCTTCTCGCTGTGCCAGATCAGTCAGTTAGAAAGAAAGTGGTAACAAATTTTTTTTTAAATGTGTGTCAACCTCATATGTGCTATCCTTTTTGAATAACCATACCAGTGGTTTACTATGTTTACCCAATTTCATCTGCAGTAAGCTACTATACTGTCTTCAAGTTTTGAGTTAGAAAAAGATTTTCATCTTTCTAAATTCCTCTTAAAACAACCTGACAGTTGACAGTTTAAAATAAGATATTTTACTATTGAAGATTGTAAAATACCTTTATCAAATATGACACATTGGTAGTTACTTCTTATGACAGATGTATGTATTTTTGTTAAAATCTTATAATCACATTTATCAGTAAATCAGATAAATTTCCATGCAATACAGTATCATTTTTGTGAAAAACCTGCATCAGTATACAGGAATAAGTTCCAAGTAATCATACGAAACTGATCATAGTGTCAAAACAAATTAGGATGAATGGAACATCATCATTTGTTACATGAAAATTGAAAAAAAACTCCAAGGAAATACCAGTATCCTCTTCAATTACACATACAGTGAAACAGTTTTCACACAGCTAATTGATGTAAGGCTCATACTACCACTGTCACCTGTGCTACCCAAAATACTTTATATACATTTCTCAAGTATACTTTAACTAGATTCCAGATTGTATTCCAGGTATATTAAGCACATCCATTCTAGAAACCTTTAAGCTTTATCTCTTTTTGTGAAACTAGATACTAATAAAATGCCCTACTGTCACTAGCCACTTAGACCCTTCCCCTTCTCATTCCTTGATATAAGTTAAAATAGAAAACTAATAGTCTGATGAATTAATTTATAAGAAGATATCAGCAATTTTCTTTGATTAAAACAGTACTTAACACTTCATCTTTATATGAATACCAATATCTGTAAAAATGTCTAAAAGCTATGTTTTCTATTTAAAAAGGCAGGCTTTAAAATACATAAAAAATTAAGTTTTAAGAAAATTACTTGACACTCTACAGCCTGTTCTGAATATCTGCCAAAGTATCCATATAGCATTCTGTAAGTTCAAAATTACTCTCACTATTTTTAATAAGAAATGGTTAACTTATTCCATTTCTATACCCAAGTTGTGAGTTGACGAGGATACTAGCATGAATCATTAACATTTTTAGAATGTATGAGACAATTTTTGTTTATCAATACAACAAAAAAATCTATTGTATAATCATACCCATAACCATGATGAAACAACATTTAACAATAATCCATCCTGGAACCCGGTTCAAGAGACTTGAATTTTCTTTATCAAATACAACAAAAACATTGATAATCATACCCTTTAACCATGATGATATAACACTAACAATAATAATAACAACAGGATGAAATAAACTTCATCAGAGAACAATTTTCCTTGATGAGAGAGAACATGAGCTACAATTCTGAAGACAGTTGTGACAATGCTAACAAATTAAAGCTATACATAATACTACATTTATCACAGGATAATTTTCATTTTCCATTTTTCTAAAGAAGCAAATGAGATTATACACATTTATCTGTATCTAATCTCTTAATTTCTCAAAGAAGAACAGGACTGCTGCTGATGTTATGCACAACTTTATTAGAATATTATGCAAGCTCTAAATTCACAATTTTTTTTGGCAAAATTGAAGGTACCAAGATAACAAAATGAAGTTGCCATCTATATGTGAAATTTTTGGCAATGATTTCAGGAAATGTTAGCTATTCTAAAATCCCCCAAAATACACATCCATCCCTTAAGAAACTGGTAGCTGAACATTCAAGGAGACAATGAATTCCAATCCAAGATATTCAAATAAGGCATACTTGAAATGAAATTCAAACTTTACACAAATTTTTAAAATGACTAAATAAAAAATACTATGGGGTAATATATCCAATTTCTAGTACATAAAATGCAACTGGCCTGCCCTTGATAATGAAGCTCATTGCACTTCTGTCAATTTCAAAATGAGTACTAATGATTATCAGATATTTTCCCTACAGGCTATTGTTGTATCAACTCCAAAATAATTAAAGGAAAATTAATTGTAAATATGTGTATATAAAGAGCATCCACTTTAGCTCCACAAAATTCAGATTATAATAAAGATATGCTTAGAAATTTGAAGGAAAAATAACTAAATTCTACACAACATAACATATAAGGTTACAAAAGTAACAGAACTGACTATAGTTTTATATCCCACATCAAAATGGTGAGATAAGTCCTAACTACATCATTCAAATATTGTATTTGCTAAGAATGTAACGTAAGATTAAACACAAGAAAAAGTTAAAACAATATTAACAAAAATACCCATTCTTATGTAGAAAAAAGCAAGAAACGACATGCTGGATATCATCCCTCTGTAATCCCAAAAGGGTTGTTATTAATTATGGCATTTGTTTAATCAACCACAATAAGAGAATAATTACCTCTTGGCTAAAAAAAATAATCTAACCATTTACATGGCATCCCTATGATAATATTCTCAAACCTATTTCTTCTCTCCTGAAGTACAAGAAATATGCCCATTACTCTGTAAAAACCCTAGTCTGCTTTTTCACAGGCACTTGTCACTTTTCAGAACCCAAATAGTGAACAGTTCCCTACTGGAGATTATGATATTAGCACCATGTATTATATTAGCCAACCACTGTATGTGACGATGAGTGAGAGTTACAATCATTGTTTAGCAATATTTGAAGCATGAGAAATCAATGTTTTTTTTACTACTGATGGGCTATTTTTTTATTTTATTTTTTTGACAAGGAGATATTTTCTTATCAACTAAGGCAAATAATTACAGATAAATAATAATATCTACAAGAACTTACTTGTCAGCAAAAGTAAGCATAATTCAGTCTACAGATTTCCAACAAAATAATTTAAAACATTTCAGGTATCAGAAAGTCATTTGGACTGCAAAATATTGGCACTATTATCATTGAGAAACAAATTATATGCAACCTCTAAAGATGATGAAATAGTATGCTTTAATACATACATGGTATTGATTACTGAGACACTGATTACAGAACTGGATTTACTGAGAGAAGAACCTTTGCAAGAAGCACCCACTTGAGAATGTACATTCCAGCTTATTTCTATCTAATACCAAGGGAAGTAACCATGTCTACCCATCATGGCACCATATGGTGAGTTACAACCAAGGACAACACTGAAAGAACACAGATTCCTCACATACAAATCTCACTGAATGGTAAGATTTATACTGATTATCATACATTCCCAATCTACATTGAGCAAACATGTCATGATATGAAACTCAATGTAACTCTTACCAAGTTAGTGAACCTGGTACATATGTATCTTTATCACGTCCTGGTGAAACTTCATGATTTCACCAAAGATCACAAATGGGCAATGATTGATCTTTCTCCATTACCATATTACCATTGTGACCAACACCCATCAATCCTACCCTATCAGAAGGCACTGGAGGTAACATATGACATCAAAATACCTCTCCAATGGTCATCACCTAATGATAAAAAGCATAATAAATATTGTCACACCCTCCTGTATAATATGCTCAATACTACTTACTTTAGCCATTGCTGAAGGCAAATCTGCAATATATGAATCACCATCTAATAAAATAATTCTCACATCATTACCCTTTTTTTCCACATTGAACACCTGCTGTTATTTCTGCAAACTGGTAAGTCTAACACATGCATAACATTAAGATACCATCAGAGTTGGAGGGAGCACAGTATGGCAACATGTCTGGACGTGACAAGACAAGACTGCATGCCTTAGAAGAAGCCTCCTTCACAAAAAGAATCAATAATAAAAACAAGACTTCCTGAAGCTTGTCTAAGAGCACACATACTGCCTGACAAACATTTTACTTCTAAATTCTGATGGCAAATCCACCAAGGCTTCCCCTCCCTCAGGTGGCACAGAGAACTGACTGCAAGTCCTCAGGTAGTGACTTGAAGAGGGTCTGTAAGTTGGCATTGAGTTTATCCCTTGTATGTTGGCTTACATGAAGAGTGTCTGCTGTTGTCAGTTTGGCCCTCAAGCGTAAGACCATGTCAACCACTTCCACTTCACTACGACTGCAAGCCCATCCACTTAAATCCTGCAAAGGGAATGCCATATGAATAATGATTCTGAAAATTACAAGGGTTTCATAATGAGTACACACATGTGTACTCATAAACACATGTGTATGTAAATGTATATATCATATATAGGTAGATTAGTAGACTGACAAGTAAGAGAAGTGATTAAGTAAACATAGTAAATTGGAAATTAGAAAAAAAAAAAAAAAAATGACTAAACTAAATTTGGCCATTTTCATAAAGGCAAAAATGCAAGTCTAAATTCAAAATGAATTTGGGTGTCTTCTTAAGGGTAAAAACGTCTACCACCTTTCAAAAAGCAGAACTATTCTATTCAATATCATAAATATTTCATGCTTTTTAAAAAGTAAACACCCATAATATCTAAAACAATCCAAAGTACTTAATAGTGAAATACTTGATATATTGCCAATATCAAAAACATCAAATCTATTGGCATTGCTTACAGCATCACTGAGGGCCTGGAGATGGAGTTTTGAGAGCTTGTCTGACACCTCCTCGTAGCGGGCATTGAACCACACCGAGAAATTGATGGAACGGAAGAATCGTCGGTAGAGACCTTCCCAGTCTCCACGGATTCCAGTTGTCAACTGTGGCCCATACAGCTCAAGTGTGGCTAAGAAGTCATCTGGGTTAAATGGTCGCAAACTGGGTATTGCCTGTGAGAAAATGGGTAAATAATGAAACCTTTATACTTCACCACTCTAACTTAGAAAGGAAAGTAAATCATTTTTGATGTTCACATACCATGAATATATCAACTGATAACCAAGAAAACAGGAGATACATGTATATATTATATCACATACTTTGTATTTCCCATTTTGAGAAGCTCTAAGACAGCAAAGATTTCTTGAGGGTTTGCCCTCCTTCATTGTGGTTATATACAATCTACAGTGGTTAACCTTACCTTGTATGGTGAAATGTTCTTCTGAAGTGGCATCAGGGAAGCTACATATCTTTCCAATGGAATCATGAAGGACTGTGTTAACTCTAAAAGATGTCGTCTTAGGAGTGCACTCTGTACCTCTACTGGTCGTCCTGTTTGCACACCCTTCAGTAATCGCTTTACTAAACCCTAGAGGAACAAGAAACAAAAATTGTCTTTGAGTTATTTCATATTCACCACATGACTGAGTTTACCTGTCATCTAAATGGAATAACATTTGAGCACACTTCAATTTTGGAGAACTATTTCTAAACAAGCTTATTGCTCACCTTGTCAGCCTGTAGGTGAGGTCGGTACTTTGTGTACACACCAGGTTTCTGTTCAACTGTTTTGAGAGCTGAAGCTTTCTTTAATTTATGCTTCTGTGTACTTGGGGATCCTGAAAGAGAGACAATTTCCTTTTAAAAAATCACACTATTTTGAATTGCAATTTCAGAAAACAAAACCAACTGCTGGTTATCAATGACTATATTCTTTAAAAAAAAAAAGGAGAGAGAGCTCTTAATTTCTGGCTATAAGAATTATCACATTGCTGAATTTTTAACGACTAACGATATCCAATTTTTCCATATATCAACATTCATACAAAAACCAGGCAGTAATGAAAATGATGAACTCACCCCAAAATGGACATAAATCATACTCCACACAGGAATGAGTCATAGGTACTTCAAAATAAAAGTTACATGATACTCATTATAGAAACTAACACCACAATTCATTCCCCATTATACCTACCAGTGTTATCCCCAATCCTGATGATGTGTGGCCAGTGCTGGAGCGTCTTGGCAAAGAATGGGTTGGTCACTCCAAGGATCACATTGGGAGGAGCAGAAGTACGAGTTGTGTACTCCTTGAACTCTGAGTCATGGATGGTAAAGAAGGGTCGGTAGTCTCCGCTGTACTTGAGTGGAGCAATAAGGCTGAAAAGATATATATGTATTATTATTATCATTATATATATATATATATATATATATATATATATATATATATATATATATATATATATATATATATTGTGTGTGTTAGTGTGTGTGTGCATGTATACACATATGTAGGCCTGTGTATGATTGTAGCAAATGCATACTCTTCTGTAAAAGCATGCACTTATTTCATCTATGAGATTATCCATATAAAATGACAAGATATCAGTATGTTGGGGAAATTCATAATGATTTACATCTGAAGTTTGTTATTCTTATAAAACTTCTGAAATGTTTATAATTTCTATAAAAACCTATTGCTGGTACCCATAGTGAAATCTCGATCTCAAATAATCCCCATATACATTCACAAATACCCATACTGTTTTTACCATACAAATTACTAAACAGAATTTAAATGGACCATTAACTTCTCCATTTTCTTCACCATAATCATTTCCATTGAATTAGGCTGCTTACCACAGCTTTTTCTTAACAAGCCACAAGAATGGGAATATAATAAAGCACATCAGCATTAAACTGTTCTCTATCCAATCAATGTAAGACATTTACCAACACTGACAAACATCTTGGTAAATAAATTCTTTATCAAAACAAGCAATACATCACCCTAACTATAATGTCACTATGCTTACCTGACTAGGGTTTGCACCATATTGGCAGCAGTGGTTGGCGATGTTGCCATCACCACCAAAGGTTCGGCAGTGATCACCAATTCCCACAAGAGGTTTAGGTGAGGCAGCACCGGAGCTAGAACTCTGAAAGCCTGGATATTGATTTTTTAAAATTAATTTCTAAAACAAATAAATTCCTCAATTGACAAAAAATACCAGTATCTAAAAATTGCATTCCAACAACAAATAAAAAATCCTATAAATCTAAATTAGGACTAACATAATGTCAAGGAAATTACCTCTGTTTCATGCGGAGATGGCACCATGATTGTCAAAGGTCCAGGAGATGTGTGGGGAGGGGATGGTGGTGTTAATGTGGAAGCTCCTGGCTTGTCCTGCCGACTTGGAATTCGAACCTGCCAAACAATAAAAAATTAAAATTCGTGAACAAGCACACTTTAGTTACCAGCACATATCCACATTCTGTGTCATCTTAAATCAACTGTTCAATCAGTAAACTTAATACTATGAAAGGAAGATAGACATTGGATAATGCAATTAAATGACAAGATTAGAATTAACAACACTATTCACTTGCAACAACACATTTTCATTTCATCTTACTTCAGTTACAAACTTATTACCCTTAAGGATTAACAAGGACATTGGGTAAAAGAGTTGAGCAACATCTTACCTGTATCAGAGTTCCAAGCAGAGGAAGACTAAGGGTAACACCTGGTGTTGGCAGAGGCCACTGGTCGAGGTGGTGACAAGCAGCTTCCAGGCTGGCTTCCCCAGTATCAAAATATTCTGGTGCCATCAAGTCTAGCACACTTGTGAAGAGCGACACCAGTGGCAGGTGGGAAAGTAATACCACACTCTTTTGAAAGAGAGGTAAAGAGAGTTAAAGAAAAAATCATAATTCCATTTTATACAAATCAGTTTAGAAACAAATATAAATATTGTATAAACAAATTCAATTACAGTACTAGAATAAATTCTTATAAATTTCATCATCCTTACCCATGAATAAACCTGTCTTAAGTACTATATACTTAGCAGTATACCCAGTTACAGTTGGATAAAAAAATATTCACAAATGTTTTATATTTCATGACCAAAATATACCAATATCAAAATCAATGTTCTCTAAAAATACATTTCAATACCCAAAATTTAATTAGCAGTTCATACTTCAAGAATATCAACAACACTATTAATGTGTAAATATAACACATCATTACCAATAATCCAACAAATTTGATGAGAAGTAAAAAGCGAATTGCAATCAACATTACTTCCCCAATTTTTTCACTACCAGCACCAAATAATCATACACCAACACTCATAAATGTTTTTATGATTCACTGACTTGACTGGTTAGCAACAACATCATCCACAAAGACATGAACCATTACCTTCTGAAAATATCCTCTCCTGAGTGTGCGGTCTTTCACTTGCCTGAAGTACACATAGCCATAAAGGTAGCCATCATCAGTCTGGAAAAGACAAAATGAAGCTTGTAAGACCTCATCTTTAAAAAGTGCTTAGTATTTTTACTACCTTTTATTAAAAATACATAAACTCCTTTAATCTAACTGATGATGAAGCATTTATCAAAATAGTTAATAACAAAAGTAGATGCATGTGATAACATTCAGAATTACTTTAAAAAAAGTATATTCTAAAAGACAAAATTGAAAACAGTGAAAAATAGAATATACCAGAGAGCACAAATCTTCACTGTTTTGATCCAACTCTATACTACAAATCTACAAATTTTCTAAATTCACTGTTAATGCATCCCAACACCTAGTCAACCTATACCTGGGCCATAGGCAACCCACACGTGAATTTCCATCACAATCCTACAATAACCTTTGGCAAAATCTTGGTGACAAACCAATTCATCAGATTTTCTTTCTTTCTTGTCTTCCTTCCTTCCTTTTATCTTTCCTTCTCTTCTCTTTTCCTTTTTAACGTGGATAAATATGTACCCTCCTCCGTCTGTCAAAAACACAGTAACAAATAGTCACAACCTAAGATGACCTCGCAAGAAACAAGGGTACCTGTATGCTCGTCGGACACGTGGCATTGTACTGGTGAATGGCCGGGCGGGTGTGCAAGGGATTCGACTGGGGGCACTGGCGGATGCGAAAGTGGAACTGGACATTCCCCATCAGGCCGGAGTTGCTGTCGGGAAAAGCCAGGTAGCAAATGTTGGTCCGTTCGCGCTCTGTAAGTTCGCGGTCGCCTGGATAAATCATCTGGAAGAGAGGAAAGGATTTTGAGAATAAGGGTCATAGCGTACGTACAATACAAAAAAATACATCTCTTTTATTGTGAAGATATCCAGTCTCATTCATACCTTTTCTACATTTGTCAAACATAGCTATATATATATATATATATATATATATATATATATGTTTGGATGGTTACACTTCAAACTGCTATTGCGAATGAGTTGCCGTTGCGTGTGTGAGAACATTTATTTTCGTCTCATTAAGTCGTCACCTGTCAATTTCCCTCAATTCTGTAAGTCTCTCTTATGTTATCATCCATCTGTCAACGTATCTTTCCTTCCACATGCCTATCACTTTCCTTTATCCTCTTCTTTTCTTTTTAAGGTCATATACTCAACATGCAAGGCATTTCTCTCATAAAAACAAATCAAATGCGCTGTTTACTTTGCATTACCATTCGACTTTCCACTCGGTATGCAAACAAGATAAAAGATATCGTACAATCTAACTCGTATTTCTTTACAGCAGAGCCTTCGGAGTGCGCGGAGGTGGGGAGGGGGGAGGGGGGAGGGAGGGGAGAGGAACGAAGCACTTGCGGGATAATGCTCTAGGCCGCATCAGTGCAATGACGCAATCGCATCGCATGCGGAAGGTAAACAGCAATGCCTCTTCTGCCTTGCGGTTCCCAAACACACATCTAAAAACACTTGAATGACACACACGCACACACACACACACACACACACACACACACACACACACACACACACACACACACACACACACACACACACACACACACACACACACACACACACACACACACACACACACACACACACACACACACACACACACACACACACACACACACACACACACACACACCCCCCCGCTCCTTCCATTCTCCCGAGCAACCTTCGCCTACACAAACACCTGTGCTCCTGAAGCCCCGAATGTCAGCAGGTGTGTGACGTCAATGCCCTCGCTCTTTATGTGGCACCTTGAGGGTCACGTGTCCCGCTTGCTGCTAAGATGCCCTTCCCCTTCCTTGTACGAAGGTGAGGGCGTGGGTGGGGGTGGTGGGTGGGTGGGTGGATGGGATAGGGTCTCTGTTCTTGTGTGTGTGTGTGTGTGTGTGTGTGTGTGTGGTGTGTGTGTGTGTGTGTGTGTGTGTGTGTGTGTGTGTGTGTGTGTGTATGTGTGTGTGTGTGTGTGTGTGGTGTGTGCTCGTATGTGTGTGCTCGTATGTGTGTGCTCGTATGTGTGTGCTCGTGTGTGCTCGTATGTGTGTGGTCTCTGTGTGTGTATCGTGTGTGTGTGTACACTGTTTATTTTGGAAATTTCCTCTCTCTTACCTCTAGAAAAAAGGTACAAATAATAACATGGGAAAAGGCGTTATTGTAAGCTATGTCCCCTGGCCGAACCCGCAGCCACTTCTCCCACTAGAATTACATAATCACCAGAGGGAAATGACACCGCCTCCCTGAATAGCCGTGTAAATAACAGACACTTACACCATTCCCCTCTAATTCCACTGGTGAAAATGCATCCCAACTACGCATAGCCTATACGAGCGAACTCCTTGTTTAACAGTAAACCAGTAAACCACTGCCTCGAAAACAAGGAGAGAATGATGAAAAACGGTACATGAGAACCTTTAAGAAAAAGCTGCACCTGTTGTTCCCAGACAACGACAACGAAGGTCGTCCACTTTGATTCTCCCGCCCATCGCCCTCCACTCTCCTCCAACCCTCTACCCTCCACCACTACCTCCAATCCCCTTCACCCTCCCTTCTGCGCCCCCACCCCCACCCTCCCTCCTTCCCCCTCCCTCTTCTCCTCCCTCCTCCCTCTACCCTCCCCTTTCATATCCTCTCCACCTGACTCTCGTTCCCACTTTTCACCTCCACACATACCCGTAACCTGCACAGGCGCCCCCGACCGCCAGTTCCCCAAGCAGGACCCAGGAGCAAAACACAGCGTTTCCCTTCGACCCAGCGCCCCCTATCGAACACCCGGAGACATGGCCTGTGCCCTCGGTAGTGGGCGAGAGACGCCCTAATGGACGCAAAACGCTGATATGTGTCTGCGGCAAAGGCGGGAGGGGGAGGGGGAAGGGGAGGGGAGGGGTAGAATGGCAAGGACGGCGGGGAGCCCTCTGTAACGGTAACACCCGTGCTCATCCTGTGAACACGACGAAAAAAACGAGTAAATGGCACATAAATGTATGGCGTAGATGTGTGTGTGTGTGTGTGTGTGTGTGTGTGTGTGTGTGTGTGTGTGTGTGTGTGTGTGTGTGTGTGTGTGTGTGTGTGTGTGTGTGTGTGTGTGTGTGTGTGTGTGTGTGTGTGTGTGTGTGTGTGTGTGTGTGTGTGTGTGTGTGTGTGTGTGTGTGTGTGTGTGTGTGTGTGTTGTGTGTGTGTGTGTGTGTGTGTGTGTGTGTGTGTGTGTGTGTGTGTGTGTGTGTCGTGTGTGTGGTGTGTGTGTGTGTGTGTGTGTGTGTGTGTTGTGTGTGTGTGTGTGTGTGTGTGTGTGTGTGTGTGTGTGTGTGTGTGTGTGTGTGCGTGTGTGTGTGTGTGTGTGTGTGTGGTGCGTGTGTGTGTGTGTGTGCGTGTGTGTGTGCGTGTGTGTGTGTGTGTGTGTGTGTGTGTGTGTGTGTGTGTGTGTGTGTGTGTGTGTGTGTGTGGTGTGTGTGTGTGTGTGTGTGTGTGTGTGTGTGGTGTGTGTGTGTGTGTGTGTGTGTGTTGTGTGTTGTGTGTGTGTGTGTGTGTGTGTTCGTGCGCGTGTATATGCGTTTGTGCGTGCACGGACCACGGTAAAATGAAAGAAGACAACAGAAGAAAAGAGAAAGTTCTAAGCAAAGGCAGGAGAAAGGAGAAATAAGAAACGAAATAAAAAAGTGAAGAAGAAAACAAACTAAAACAAAAAAACAAAAAAACATAAAAATGGACAAACAAGAGAAGCAAAAAGAGCAGAGAAGAGAAAAGCGCGCCCCTCACCTGGGAGAGAAACCCCTGACAGGTATTGGTAATGGAACGCCTCGCCTCGTCTTGTTCCGGGAACTGTTATTTGTTCGACGAAGTGTCAACATCGTGCTTTCTTGACACAAACATCGAACTTTTCCTCTCCGCGTCAGCATGATCAATGATGTGGACATTCCTCACTCAGTGGAATGCATAACACAGCCACCATCTAATTTCTTGGAATGAACAACATGTCCCTATCGAACTTCTTGGGACGAATGACGCGTGCATTCGAGACTCGCTGGAATGAGTAACATCTTTCTCCCAACTCGGTGGAATGAACAAACACGCCCATTTCTCCAACTCCCTCTCCATAAACACGCACATCACCAACAGATCGCAAAGAAAAGAAAAAAAACACACCCATCTCTCCCTCCCTATCGAAACCAAACACGCCCCCCCATAACCCCCTCAAATATAAACAAACCTTCCCATTCGACCACACTGTCCTGCCAGCCCGCACCCCCCCCCCACCAACCGCCACACATAAACACGGAAGCAGGCCGCCCACGCGCTCCCCCCCCCCATACAAAACACGGGGGGAGACGCGGAACCGACTCCGAGAGACACAATAACACGCGCAATTAGACCTCCTCCTCCGACCTCATGATCGGGACGCAAATGACATGCAAGAAGGGCGCCGGCTGGGGAGATGAGAGCTCGAACCCCTCGCTTCCCTTCCTCATCACCCTTCTTCTTCTCTTTTTCCTCTTTTCTTCTTCTTTCTTCTTCTTCTTCTTCTTCTTCTTCTTCTTCTTCTTCTTCTTCTTCTTCTTCTCTTCTTCCTTCTTCTCTTCTTCTTCTTCTTCTTCTTCTCCTTCTTCTGCTTCCTCTCTCTTCTTCTCCTTCCTCTCTCTTCTTCTCCCTTCCTCTCTCTTCTTCTCCCTTTCCTCTCTCTTCTTCTCCATCCTCTCTCTTCTTCTCCATCCTCTCTCTTCTTCTCCATCCTCTCTCTTCTTCTCCCTTCTCTCTTCCTTCTCCCTTCTCTCTCCTTCTCCCCTTCCTCCTCCTTCCTCCTCCTTCCTCATCCCCCTTCTACTCTCCTCCCTTCTTCTTCTGTTCTGCTCATTCTTTTCCTTTCTCCTCCCTTCCCCTCCCTTCTTCCGTTCTTCTCCCTTTCCTTCCTTCCTATCCTTCCCATCCCCATCCTTCCCCACTCACATCACCCGCCTCTAGAACCCTCCACCCCGCACGCATCGGCTCTCAGGAAGTTTCTACTCAAGTATGTGCGTGGAATGTGTACATACGCTCGGGAAGGGAGGGGGAGGGGGGGGGGGAGGGGGTAGTAAAAAGGCGGTCAATCGTTGAATCTGAGTTCTACGATAACGCAAAACATTAAATACACGAAAGTAAAAGAAAATTATCTTCTAAGAGGTCGACGCACCCCACCCAAGTACACCCCATAATATGTGCACACGCGCACGGACACATGTGCACACTTCTCATGGCGACCGGGATCTCGCTCACAGCTGATCCACCTGACGACCTTCAGTGACGTCACAGCGCTGGCCTATGGGTTGCCCAGCCTCGCTTCCTCCATTGCTCACCTTCCTTAAAATGGACTCGTCTGTTGCCATCTAAACCACTGCGTCAGATCGAGTTCCAGTTCTAGTTACAGATCCCAACAAGGCGTTATTTAGCTTTGAGGAGCCGCTTCTAGGGGGGTCTCAAAGCTTATGTAAATATAACGTTTTTAAAAAATTACGTCATTAAATCACAAATTAACAACCCTCCCGTAACGAATACATAAAATATCAACAACCGTGGGTACATTATCCCCCCCCCTCCCCCTCTCACGATGACTTACTGCCAACATACACAACAGAAAAGCAAAGAAAAGAAAAACGGGCGACGGAAAATTAATAACGCCACCTCCCTCCCCCTTCCCTCGTAAAACCAGCCCTCCCCCCCCCCGTCCCCCCCCCCCAACACACGCACCATGGCGTCCGACCTTGCCATTCTCCAGGGGCAGCTCGCAGTCCGTTATCAGCAGCG